GACCCGGGATCGAACCCAGGCCGCCGCGGTGGGAACCCAGCGACTAACCGCTTGATGTATGGCGCGGCCTTGTTGTGTAGTATACTAACTGCAGTTTCCAACACTATGAACATATTCTAAATACAAATGCACTTCGTTTTTTGAGTGTCGCTGTATTCACGAAAGTTGGCTGATTATTTTTTTCAGCTTGAGTCGTCATTCATAATTACTTTCCATGCATATTTTACGAATGCAGGGATCTGAAGAAAAAGAAATGAACGCAGAATTTTTGTTGGAAACCCCATTTTAATTAGCCCGAGACATAAACGAAGAATAGTACTAAACTGGGCTTTTGGAAAATGGATTATGTGGTTCTGATGTGGTTCGTACTTGCTAATTTGAATATTGGTGATATTTAGCTTCAGCTGTTGGACTCTGATTTAATAGCTGAAGTCATTAACTCACTCTGTATATTGAAAGAAATAATTAAGCCCATCAAGATCTTAAATTGGTGTAGAAATGAAGCTGTGTTTATTCCTAAGATTTGTTTACATTCATGAGTGGTTCTTGTAAGATTCATTGGCTTCGGGTTCAAAGACGGTCTTCATTGTTAATGATATTTATTCATGTCTTTCTTAGACATTCATAATGTCCTTGGATGTATATTCTACAAGTGAACGGATGTGGAAAAAGGAACGGGGAAGTTACGTTCTGACTGAGGATGTTTCTATAGCGGTATCACTCTGGACGCGCTCCTTTCGAATCTCGGCCCTGACACTGGCTCTCCTGGCTGAGGTTTCCCTTGGTATTCCTGGGTCCCTTCAGGCACATACCGGGATAGTATCTGCTTCGTTGCAAATCCTTTCGAATTCATTATCTGCCAATCGTCCTGTCATTCGACACTGTAGGCCCGGAGTCGAGATTTGAGAGCCGCGTAAAATAAACTGTCGCGTGTCAAATTTTGGTTGTGATTGCTCGGAAGTAGCTCGCGTAGGAGACTAATAACTAGCATGAAATCTTTTTAAACTCCATAGCTTTTAGTCCTCAAGCGAACTATACCGACCCGAGGGACCGCAGCTTGTCGGCGAAGTTAGTGCTAACTTTTGCGGATTGAGGGTGTCGCACGGTCAGCGCAACGGGTTCCCACCGCCTTTAATTTCGGTTTTGTAGACCGGAGCTGCTACTTTGCTATTCAAGTAGGTCCTCAGTTATCCTCACGAGGCTGAGTGGGCACCGTTCGAGACCCACTACTTCTCAGAAAATCTGGTAGCGCCGGGAATCGAACCTGGGACCTCTGGATCTGTAGCCAGGAAGTCTGACCACTAGACCACAGAGGCAGCGAATAAAATCTTGTTATCTTTAGGAAATAAATTCAGATGTGATATGGACTGAGCTAGTTCAGGACTGGTTTCAGTAATGCTCTTTTTACTGAAGGTTGTGAAACTTGAGAGTCCGTAATAGTAGGGCACTTTTTGAATAGTTTATTATCTATCGATTAGTTGGCCCCGCAGCAGTAGGGTGCTTTGAAGCCCATTCCAAGGCACACAAATTTAATTTCGTTATTTAGTTTAACGGTTCGTTGTTTCATTATTAAACGTTACACAGGAAGAATGAAACTGGTTTACCTCTGTAATCCTGTACGAAAGCTTTGACATTCTGTTGTGAAGTCGTAAGTCACTGTGATGAAGAGCAAATGCAGGAAACATGGAATGGCACTACGATCCTAGCGGTTGGGGCGCCACCGCCGGCGGACTGTGATTAAGCATACCTCGAAACCCTTCTACGATTGTCGGTAAACCAATGCAAATATTACTGAAGGCACGGTAACAAGTCCATTTGTGTTCAGATAAGGTAGTCTGTAAATAAGCGTACGAAATGCAGTCGGTGTAAGTAACTGACATAGTAGAAGGGAGAGTACGGGAGCCTGATACTACACAGCATTGACACAAAATAACCAGTAAACTCAGTGGTATAAGGTATTCCTTTCGCGGAAAATAATTGTGCATTCTAGCAGGAATGCATTGATGTTACGGAACTCAAAGTTCATACCGTCCTGAAGAAGTCAGCCATTAGACCCTCATCTCACAGGCAACTAAAATTTTGTATTTATCTCTTGTTTCCGCCATTTGTGCCACATTTTATACCCATAACATCAACTGTCATGAGGGGTGAATACAAATAATACAAATCATACTTCGATTTTCACCTGTTAGGCGTTCTGACCTTTTCCAGTTCGGAATTGACGTCTGAAATTATGAGTCACCATCGACATTTGGTGTTTCTTTTTTGTACAGGGTAGTCAATCTTAAGGGCCGTACTTGCACGGAGCAACACATCACAGAACAAGAAGTGCTGGGAAGAACTAATCTGTTTTCCTTTAATACGATACGGACCGCATATAAAATTAAAGAAATTAGAGGGATTCACACACACAAACAGCAAGGTAATCACAAAAGCTTCCTTGATATGGCACGGACCTCAGTGAAAACGAAGAAATATAAGAAGAAACAGAATCACAGCAAGGTGATATCATAAGCTTAATAATAAACATTAGGAAGGGGATATAAAGACAGATGGACAGATACAGACAGCAAGGTGATTTCATTAACGTTTTTTTTTCTTCAAAATAAGGAAGTAGGCTAAGAACACGGACATACATAGTATTATATGCCTCGAGTGGGATTCGAACGTACAGACCTAGTGTTCTGTCGGCAGAAGACGATGCATATCTTAGACTGTGCGGGCACTGTGATCGGCAGTATAACATTTGGTTCATTTTAACCAGTTAATGGAATTCATGTATTAATTGCCGCATAGGCATTTATGTTGTACTTCGTCGTCTTCCTATGGCGGACTAGAACCTCTGGCCTGTTCCAATCACAATTAATCCGAAATTATGAATGTTAGGCGGAATGCACACCAAGGAAGCTGGCAACCGCTATTTCCGAGAATTGTTATCAGCCTGAGTTGGACACATGTTAGTTAGTTAGTTATTGGAGAACGTGGGTTTCCCCATGCACTGAGACCTGTATTGGTCTATTGTGCTTCCCTCTATGATTTCTACCAGTCTCTATATCCTACCGGTACTGGTGCTTACCATCAGTCCCGCCCAGCCAGCGAGACCGGCTCTACTAGCTGAGAGGTAATGCTTCCCCCATCTACCAGAGGTGTTAGAGACTGCTGTTGGGCGGGAAACGCCCGTTAATTTGGCTCAGTGACCTCCTTTGGAGATATGAGGTTCTTTTACGTGCCGTAAAGCTACGACACGGGACCCACGGCTTAAGGTCCCTCCCGGAGGACTTGTTCCCTGAATTTTTCCGCCCTTAAAAATTCGACGACCTCCGCCGGGTATTTGAACCCGCGTACTACGAGTCATGAGGTGGGAACGTTACCTCTAGACTACGGAGGCCGCTTGGACACATGTTACTGAATGGAGCAGCGTAAATCGAGGAAACGTCAACGCAACTCGCGGAGAGACAGAGAAACAATTTCCAAGCAACGGAGCATGCCAGTCTTCTTACAATTGCGTTGCCGCGTGGTTTCCTAGAATCAGCTATTCTGTAACGCGCTTAAGTGGGTCATTTTTTCTTTTGATGGCACGAAAGGTTGACGAAGCTGCCAATTTTGTTTTTGTGCAGTTAATTGAGCAAGAGCCAGGCATATGTGACGAACGCCACCCAGACTATGCTAGGCAGGACAAATTAGATATGACTTAGGAAAGAATATCTCACGAGACGAAAGAGTCTGGAGACGGGTTAAGTTCTTTCGAAACAATGTAAGCTCCTCAATTTAAATTGTCACAAAACGGATACACCCAATGCTTTCTTTTCCTAATATTGTATTTAAGCGTCCTGTTGCATTAATATATCATTTATTTCATATATATATCCGTCTTAAATGCAACATATTACATAGTCAGCCTTCTTCCACATTACATGGTTCGGCTGTATACGGTCTTCTATCCTGCTAAAACTGTTGCATTGTATGTCAATTTCGTATAGCGTGTGAAAGCGATATTTCATGATCAAAATAAATTGACCTTAATTAAAACAAATTAATTAACATCCCAATATTTTCCTCATGGTCGTCGTCCTCTCCTCTCACGCCCTCTCAACCGGTCTCAACTACCACCAAATTATGACAGGATCAATATTATTATCTTTCATTGCAGAAGGTAAGTGCACGAAATTAAAAAAATACAATCATGCATTACTTCGGACGAACATACCCACTTAAGATGATATGGGCAACTAGTCAAACATATAAATTTCTTCAGTGTGCGCCTGCTAATCAGGAAACCAGCCGCTTGCTTGAAATCTGCGACATTTCTCGGAAGTTGCAGTTGCGTTGCGGTTGCCAGTTTCCTTGATGTGCCCTCGGCCTTGCAGAGAGTTCTTTTGGCACTTTGGTCTGGGGATCAGCCCGTCGCAAGGCTGCTACCTACGTAGGACAACAAAATAAACGGAGACAGGCATCCATTCTTCGAGTGGGATTCGAAACCAGGATCCCAGCGTTCGAAATGGAGAAGGCATTTCGTGCCTTAGACCGCTCGGCATCTGTGATCGCCGTTGTTTTTTTTTTTTGTCAGCCCTTAAATGCTTTCTGTTAGTCATGAAGAGTCCGTTAAGTCTTTCGTATTTAACGCAATTTTTTCCTTTACGCAGTGCGCCTAATTCTGTCACTGAGTCATTTTATTTGAGAGTTAGATGAATTTGCTCATCACAGGCATGGACTGTCTTCTCCCGTTCGAACTCTGGGATCGTGGGTTCGAATCGTGAATTTGCAGTGCGTTTGAGTCGTTTCCAACCAAGTGGTTTAAATAATCTTTTAACGTCGTTTTGGAAGTTTCAGAATAACGTCGAAAGGTAACATCAATGCAGAGGAACTGTGTTCGCCTATGAATGGGGTCTCAGGGGACATTAACTTCAGGCCTTGTCTTGGAATCTAAAAGTTTCTGATTCGTAAGTCATTGTTTGTAAGAAATGCGATTTACTACATTAGTATTATTTGTTTTATTTCAGCAAAGAAGCAGAATGGCGCGGCCATACGAACAAACAGTCTGGGATCAGGAACGAGAACGCCGCCTCTGGAAAGAAAAAGCAAATTCTCCGCTCTAGGAAGGTTATTCAAGCCATGGAAGTGGAAAAGAAAGAAAAAGTCCGACAAATTTGAAGAAGCTTCAAGATGTAAGTACTTACTTATTTACTTTGCCGCGCCATAGCTCAAGCGGTTAGTCGCTGGCTTCCCACCGCGGCGGCCCGGGTTCTACACCGGGTCTGTTCCTGTGTGATAAGACCGCGCCATATCTCAAGCGGTTAGTCGCTGGTTTCCCACCACGGCGGCCCGGGTTCGATCCCGGGTCTGACCAAGTGGGATTTGTGGTGGGCAAAGTGGCGCTGGGGCAGGTTTTCTCCGAGTACTTCGGTTTCCCCTGCCAATCTTCATTCCACCAACTGCTCCACAATCACCCTCACCTATCTTCTGGGGCTGGTACAGTAGGCCAGAAGTGGCCGCAGTACAAGGGACTTAGTTCCACCCACTAGCAATAAAAATATTTATTAACTTACTTATCTACTTATGAAGCTGAGCCCTTCTTGAGGAGAAGTCAAATCTGCAGCTACTCAAGAATTTCCTAGCATTTTATGGAGCCCGAAGGTTCATTACCGTGTTCACAAGAACCCTCCACTGGTCCCTATCCTGAGCCAGATCAATTCAATCCATACCATTCCATCCTATCTCTCCAAGATCCGAGATGTAAGTACGGCATGAAATTAACAAACTTTTGAGGACGTACTAAGATGAACAGCATGGAAGTTAGGCCAGTCATATACGTGTGTGCAACCTTCCTTTTGTGTGAAGAGAGTTTAATGATTATTATCAGTCCGTTGCACTTCATTAAACACTTGGAGTCCTCTGAATGGTGTGTTGAAGTATGGCAGTTGTAGCCTTTGAACCGAACAACTACTGCTTTATGAGCATAGGAGTGATAAGATATTTCCGTTCGTAAAGTGGCTACGTGCTGGATCTGGGTTCAGTTCCTGACAGGATCATGGATTATTCTCTCCGTTCATACCAGTTGTGGTGCCCACCTAATCGTCTTGTCCTGTTTAGGACTCTTTCCTGGGAATAAAGCAGCTGGTATATGACGCTATTCACCGCCATTTTGTTATGGTTAAATATTTATGTTACATTACTCCCACTCCCTCTGTATGAAATCATGGCGTAGTGTTTGGCTATAGACACTTTCACCGTTAACATTTATCTTTTGTTTCGGTGCTCGTTCAGTGAAATTATATCCGATATCTGTGAATTGCATGTACTAGTCAATGTGGATGGCCACTTTACACGCAGAATGGTATCGGAATATATCATTCATGAACATACAATACGCTGCTGAGGGTCTGAATAGGCCAGTGCGTAGATTATATTTTATCAGTTCATATTGAGGATGTATGTTTCATTCGCCCGTAGAATAACGCGGAAGGTACGGCGTACACCGGCTTGGATGTAGGCTTCAAAACATTTCGTTATACTCCAGAGCACAGATTATTGAGTATTTGTTGTTGTTCCTGTAAGACAGTACTGTGCGAAAGACATGTCGCCTCGAGATTCGAAAAGTGCCACAGGATTAATTAATAAAGATTTGGATACTATTTATATTGTTGTTTTGAAGGTAGTAAATATTTATACAAATTTTAATTTTTATTGTCTTTCAATTAAAGAAATGAGATGAGGCTGCTGTGTTCTAGTATTAGGCCTATGTTCTCTGCAGCACTTGATTGTTCTTCTAGCACGTGACGTCACGGTTGTTATACTGGCACAACTCTGTCAGCTGATCTTCCCGCCCCCTTCCTCCCAACGTTGCGTGACGTCTCAAAATGGCCCATTGAAATTTAGAGCAGAAAACTGTTTCGTTATCATCCTCATCTTCGAACAAGCAATATGTTGGACCACGTGTTGACGCATTTCGACGTCTTTTTTCCTTCATATTTTTTGTGGCCTTTGCATTCTCCTGGGTCTAAACTTAATTTTTTTGGGAAGTCTGTCTTTCAGAATTCGTCTGTAATCTTTCTTTGCTTAACTGGTTTCATGGGTATCCCAAACTCTATCAGAATATTGTACGATACTTCCTTCCTAACTGAATCATAGGCTTTCTTGAAGCCTACAAATAGCTGATGTACTATCTCATTGTACTCGATTTTTTCTCCAGTATCTGACGAATGCCGAAGATCTGACCTGTAGTTGACCTGTTACGTCAAGACCCACACTGATGATCCCCAGTAATTTCATATATGTATGATNACTGTCTCATTGTACTCCCATTTTTTCTCCAGTATCTGACGAATGCCGAAGCTCTGACCTGTAGTTGACCTGTTACGTCAAAACCCACACTGATGATCCCCAGTAATTTCATCTATGTATGATCTTAACCTTGAGAGAAGAATGTTGGACAAAATTTTGTATGAAGTTGATAGCACTGATATCCCCTGATAATTACTGCAGTCAGTTTCATCACCCTTCTTGTGAACTGGTACAATAATAGATTCCTTCCACTGGTCAGTCAATTTTTTCTTATGCCAAATAGAAGTAATTGGCTTATGGATCCTAAAACATAACATTTCGCCTCCTCCTTGAACAAGTTCTGCCGGAATTTGATCACTACCTGGCGATTTATACCGTTTCAATATTGCAGTAGCAATTTCAACCTCAAAAGGGCTGGGATCAGGTATTAACGGCTCAGCTCTATGCATTTCTATCTGCCTAACATCACTGACCTATGTACATTCAGTAAGTGAGAGAAGTAGTTCTTCCACCTATTCAAAATGTTGTAGGTAATCTATGTTAAGTTTAAATAAGCTAATTGCCTACTGTCATTCTACTTCGAGTTACTTATCCTTTTCACTACTTTTCGCTACTTTTCGCCTTGCCGCTGCAATTAAGCCTGTGGTGCTTATGCTGCACGGTTGTGAAGGACATCTGAGAGAAAGCACATACTCTTCAGAATGAGATAAGCACGCTCCTGTGCTTTGTTTCAGTAGCATTGATACTCTTTACAATGAGATAATCACACGCCTGTGCTTTGTTTCAGTAGCATTGATACTCTTTACAATGAGATAACCACACTCCTGTGCTTTGTTTCAATAGCATTGATACTCTTTACAATGAGATAACCACACTCCTGTGCTTTGTTTCAATAGCATTGATACTCTTTACAATGAGATAACCACACGCCTGTGCTTTGTTTCAGTAGCATTGATACTCTTTACAGTGAGATAACCACACGCCTGTGCTTTGTTTCAGTACCATTGCTTTCTGAAAGCGCATAAAAGGAAAAGAACGCGCTTTATAAATTGGGAAATTTAATTATATTGATTACCGCTGGGATTCTTCAGAACCTGGGCATTCGTAAAACAACCAGCGGATGGGGGTAGGAGGTAAGAGTTCTTCGTTATGGTCTTAACCAAAGCAGAGTCGAAACTCTGAAATTACTATTACTATTTTGTTGTGCCTATAAATTAGACGTATATAAGCTGCAAGTTATATTAGAAATGCTAAAAATGATTCACCTCCGTAAAGAAGCCAACTTTTGAGATAGCCAAAAACGTAAATTCCCTTATCTGTTTGCTTAAATAAATTGAAGGACTTTTCGTTTAAGACGTGTAACTGTTTAGGTAATCCTAGATTATAAAAATTCCAGTCACTTAGCCCGCTTTAACTTCGTACTAATAAAACGAAGTCGTTTATAGACCAAGGAGTTCGCGGATGAATATTTTCCCTGTGGATGAGATACTGTTTTTTTTTTCTTGGCACTACAGCCCCAGTGGACCTAGGCCTACCTCCATGAACTTCTCCGTTCACTTCGGTTTTTCTCGATCTTACACATTCGGTAGGACTCCTTGGGCGGGTGATCAGCTTGTCGCAAGGCTGTACACAACCTGTACACAAACACAGAAAAACGCACACACACAAACTAAACATCCATGTCCTGAGTGGGATTCGAACCCACGATCCCGGTTTCCAAGCGAGCGAAGACAGTACATGCCTTAGACCGCTCGGCTACCGTGGCCGGCTGAGATACTGTTTCCCTTCCCTAAATACACTGAAGTTAATATCCTGAAGTGGATTTCAGTACTCATTATAGTAATTATTCAGAGATACGCAGCTTCTCATATTTGTTGAATTCTAGGCCTCAGTCATGCTCTGAAATGTTACGTTTCCAAGCCATTCTTCTGAAATGAAAACACTGCTGGCTTCAGTCATGTAACCAGGAGGTTTGGCATGGCGACAATGCCTTAGAGTTGTTCGGTTCTGCAGACTCTCGATCAGGACACTGACTGTCTTGACAGTTTCTTTCGTTGGGAGTGGTTTCTCAATCCCACCAGACAAATGTCGGGGCATTACGTCAGGCCATGAACGGATCCATCTGATTCTTTCCCAATGAAGTCATCCTACCATTGACAATGTGAAGACAGCGTACTGACAACGCACAGGCTCTAGCCTGTGGAACAGGAACGGAACAACATCGCCTCCGTTCTCCCGTTTTGGCCAAGGGTGGCTTCTTTCTGTTCCCAACAGTAAAACTTCGCTGAAAGGGACACATTTTTAATAGTTCGAAGAGCTCCGCCAATGTACGGCACCCTCCCTGAAGGTCTTATCAAAGTGTGCACTCCAGGAATTCTTCCAGCTACAGCAGAAAAGAATAGTTTCCTGAACAGCTGCCAAAAGGAACTGCTTTGAAGAGGGCCACAGCAATTATCTGGAAAATGGAATTTTAACTTTTTCATAAAGTCATTCCTGTTACTTCATAGCCACACTTCGTATCGTTTTAGGTTCGTATTTAGGTATTGGGTCTTATTATTAACGGTTTCTTGTCGGTAAGCCACAAAGCTTTTCATGGGTTAAGATTTGAAACTCGTTCTACCGCTTTTCCATGTTCTAGTTACGTCCGTTAGAATGTTAAAGCTTTAGGACAGGATTCGATGAGACCTGTCTTAAGTATATTTTCACGTTGATGGAGTGACTAGACGGGGTTTTGGAATGATGACTCGATTTATTGCCTACTTTGATACAACGCTTGACTGCTCTTTACAATTCACTGTTACACACGCTCACTAGTATCCATAGTCACGTATTCACTGGCCGTTGCTCGATAGCGGCTTCCAACGGCGAACGTTCCCCTTCCTCT